GAGGATTCAGGACTGATGGTTGAATTTTCCCACAATCATATGAATAGGCCTCACGATTCCACCAAATTTCACATATCCTTGCCTCCAAGACGGTAATCTTGTCCAGACTGGTGTGAAGATTCGCCCTCGCCTAAGTCGTATGATGTGTGGAAACTGAATGCCGCACTACTCGAGTTCGAGTCCCACTATGGTTGCTGATAAAACCTAGACGAGCTTAAAACCGCAGTCCACTAAGGATGAAACTACCTTCTGTGAGGCAAGTATATGTGAAAGTTGGTGGAATCGTGAGGCCAACTCGTATGATTGTGGGAAAATTCTACTATCAGTCCTGAATCCTCTTAAAAGAAATAGGGTGGATACAGCTAATACAAGATGTAATGATAGCCTTAAAGACTACCAAAAATGTGAAACCCTTAAATGATAACTTTAAGGCTTATTTAGTGTGGATGGTATAGCGAAACCTTAAACTCATTCTATTGAAAATAATCCAACTGCCAAATAAATCGACCAATATTGTATTGCGCTATTTAATCTGTCTCAGGGATAGTTGTCTGGCAAGAGACAAACATGGTCTACAGCAGGCTCCATTGCAGAAGGTCGACAGTCCATGGACATGGTGAGGGCCTAGTTTGCCCAGTTTCTTCTCCTCACTAGCCTGTATCGCAGCTAATGCCGATGCGGCTGTAGTCTGCCTAATTTGTCCGGTTGAAATCGTAGCTAGTGCCGACGAAGCCAGAGAGCTGCAAGATGGCGACGGTGGGGCATTATTTAGCACGGCAGCCGCATTAACGGCCGCCGAATGGAAAGGATTTGTGGGACTGAAGGGTATAGTGAAGAGGTCGTCCGAAGAGGCGGAACTACCAACACCAAGACCATGGGCTGCTTGGTTGCAGTGGGCAACATTGGCCGGTCCACCGGAAAGAATGCGCTCTGTATAAAGAGAAATGTGAAGATGGAAGGTATGCATGAAGTAGCAAAAGAGGCGGAGATAAAATGATAAATCAGATAATCTATATGGCCTTTTAGTAGCCTAAATCCTTGTTGTCCCGTTGGGG